TCAGCATGGAGATTATTAGCTACCTAAACTCTCTGAAGTCATGCTTTATGTGTATTCTGGACTATAATCTCTTAAATTGTGGTGCTATTCAATAAAAGCTCTTTTAAGGGGGTCATATAATGATATATAGGGTATTTGGTGCTGGTTCCTAAGGTGTCTGAAAAGGGTGTGTGACATTGGTTGAGCTGAAAATGGCATATTTGCTGTTCTATGAGCCCTAATGCAAGCCTGGTCAAAAGTCCTAGAATGAAACGAGAGGTTTTCTTCCTATTATAGTATGCTCATGAATATTTAAATGAGCTGTGCGCTGATTGGTTGGTTTGCAATGAGCAAACTGAAAATTGTTTATATGGTAGGGTGACCAGACGTCCTCTTTTTCCAGGACATGTCCTACTTTTCATACTTCAAAAACTATCCGGGGGGAATTTGAAAATCGTCCGGGATTTTGGTCGACTACAATGCAGCACCTAGTCGAAACACACCGGGCACTCGAACCGGGCCGTGAGCTCCGGGGCTGGTCCACTAACTCCGGCGGATTGGGGCAGGGAGCCTGCAGGGGACGGAGCAACCAAACCCGACCTGGTGACGGTACCCAGGACACCGGCGGCCCAGTGCTTCCCCCTCACTAGGTTGGATTTGGTTGCTTCGTCCCCCGCTGCTGCTGGCTCCCTTCCCCCGTCCAGTTCCCGGATCAGCCCCGGAGCTGAGGGCCCGGTTCGAATGTCTGGTGCGGTCGGAACAGTCCCCCGTTTCCATAAAATTCAAAGCAAATCCTACTACTACTGTCCAACATTTTGAAAGCTGCCTTCAGTAAAATGATTAGAGCACATGAACAGCTGAGCATCAAACTTTGCAGGGATCTTCTGATAGACAAAAGTTACCCATGCCTGTCAAGTCTTTGGATCCTTGGGAAGACTGTGAAAATGTTCCCCTTTTTCTGTGCAGCCTGGAACACTGCATTTACGCCCGTGGTTCTGGCTCATTTTCAATTGATAAACTGCCTTCTTTATAATTCTTCTAGAAGTAAACCCAACTGTAGGCTAAACAGCTAAACTGGTGTCTTACATCTACCTCTATTTATGTTCTTGGGCCGTGAACCAGTGGGCTGGTCTATATGTCAATTTCAGGCCGTGAAAAAAAGTACAGGCCAGAACCAAATAAGGCAACATCCCCGAACTATTGTCAATTCGGGGGTTTGTTTGGATTTGCCCGTTTTATGGTGGAAGTTTAGAATTTTGAGATTTGGAGAGAAAGGTCAAAGGGGTTTGAACTTCTCTGTGTGGCCATTTCACCCACTGAACTATTGTTATTCATCTATGACAATGTAAGCTCAGTTTTGCATTCTATGACCCCCTTTAATCCCAGAATTACTTTGTTCCAAGAATAAGATTTTTTGCCACTGTTTGGTTGAAAACAATATGACTGCAAATTCAGGTAAACGGCTTCCTAGAGCATCAATTGCTTAGATTGTTTGTTCCATTCATGATTACATCCTTAACAACAAAGCATCTAACATCTTAAAATGGGGTTCTTTCTAAACTGTTATTCTATTATTAACAGTATTCTATCATTTGGCCACATGGAGTGCATATTTTAGTTGAAATTGGGAAAATGTGGGAAATTTGAAACAATTTCTTTTGTTATAGGAATGTTCTGACTTTTGAGTTTAGAATACATCACATATAATATAACAAAAATGGAAAATGTAAATAATATTATTTGCATCAAAATAAGATTTTGCAGAAGAGCAATCAAAAATAAATATATAAGATATAAAACATATAAAATATCTTGATATCCTACTTTCGGAAAGGGAAATATTCAGTGTTTTTAGCAACCTGCTCTATATTTTGATTAGCTTTGACAACTGCAGACTACAGTTGGAATTATGGCACACCTGCAGTTTGAAGACTCTTTAGGTTTGTCAGCCCACATCTGTGCATGTGGGCTGCATGTCTGGACCCTATCTGCTACGCTTTCGGATTTGAAATGGCAAGCACTGAGAGCCTCATCGCATAAAGACAGGAGAATAACAAGGGTTCCAAAAATGTAGGATTTTTTAAAGTGTTTTTTTTTTTTTTTCTTTTACTAAACCTTTGTCAAAGTTTTGTTTGTGGGACTGACCTTTAATTCCTTTTTAGTGCCCATCCAGAGGGTGAATGGCCCTGTTGAAATGATAAAGGAAAGGAAAGATCATTTCAACACTTCTTCAACAAATAATATGACTTGTATCCCTTACAATCCAACTGACCATTGAAAATATCCCAGTTTTAAAGGAAAAATAATCCAAAAATTTTATTCCACATAGCCTGATGTTTCACTCAGAGATGAGTGTTCATTTTGCATTATTCATTCAGTATTGTTTTTCATGCCAAACACACAAATTGGGAGATATGGCCTGTAAGTTTTGACTATAACACGTTTTACCAAAAGTTTATGAGAAATTTCTGCCAGCTACACACATCTTTTACTGAAAGGAGAAAATTCTGTCTTTTTACCCCGCTTCCTAATCTAGACATTTGGAGACCACAGTCATTTCTTCTTAGCAATTCTTGCTACTTCTTCAGTGTTGCTCTCCGCCTCCTTGACCAGCAGCTATTCTGTTCTTAGTATAGATTTTGGATAAAATTCCACCTTATGAGCAACACTCTACTCCTATTATTACTAGTAAATGGTTTAGATTTTTGTTGTTTTCTCTTTATTGATACCTTAAGAAAATCTCACCCTTGTTGCCTTTCACAATATGTTTTTCCAACAATGGAAATCTGGAGAAATCAGAAAAATCCTATTTGTCCTGGACATGATTGTATAATAATCATTACTAAGGACAGATGTGAACTCAGAACTGAAGAAATGCTGAAATTTGTAGATTAAGGTTATATTTTGATTTCTTAAATTATATATTTCTTACGATGTTCTCTTTATAAGAGAATGTTTTCATAAATCTAGCATTGTATCTTGGAAAAAAATAAAATAGAAATGGAAATTTAACACCAGTTTAATAGGTTTTTTTTAAACTTCGTAGGTCCACTTGGGTTTTACCCACACAAATACCAAAACTTTCAGTGTTCAGATCAACTTATATGTCCAAACTGAATTGCCTAAACATTATATTTAATGCTGAAGAGACAAAGAATAGACAAACAGAATGAATCCACACGCAATTATTTATATATTTCCTTTTTTTACATGAACTAAGTACCTGGGATATACATGTTTTTTTTTTTTGTTTTTTTTGTAAGGGACCAGACATTCACAGACTTCCCCTGATTTAGACATGGCTCTTTCAGTCTACATGTTTGAAGTGGTAAGAGAAGAAAAACATTGTCATTTTTTCCTGGTCTGTTGTGATGTGGTTTGATGAAATTCTTTGTGGGGGTTCATGCAGTTCCTTTTCCTTGGCTCCAACTGCAGAGTGTGTGGGTAGTTAGCAAGGTGATCTCAGGGAAGTTTTCCCTATAGTGGAGCCCTGATTCAGACAGCCAGACACCATAATGCCCGTTCATCTGTAACCCATAATGACCGTGTGTGACTGGAACTGGTCATTTTCGTTTTCCCTTCCAGTTCAGCCCCCGTCTCCCTCTCCGTACAAATGCTGACTGCGTCTTATGGCCGGAGTTGTTAAGCTTTCCACATTTGTTTTCATACTATATGGAAGATAGTTGTTGGGACAGTATCTATATGCCAGGTGGAAGTGATGGATGTGCCTCGAGGGAGTGGACGCTATCTTTTTGCTCAGGAGCAGAAAAAGGGCATCGTTAGATGTTCCCTGGGGCATCGTACCCTAAACTGGCCAGGTTACATTCTCCTGTGAGATTATATCCCCAGTTTCCTTATCTCTACTGGATTATCTTCCAACCTTAGAGATTGCACTACCCTAATGTAAGTACTGAACAGGAATTAAGTTCATAATCATTTTAAGAGCAAATCAATGGTCAGTGATTAGAAAGCATTAAAACATAGATTTTACTGATGGATGATCTGGAGCTGGTTTAGTTAACTCAATTTGAGTCCTGGGTCAAGTGTTTACAGACGATCTGCTGTATTGTTTATTACAGTAGGGTTTGGTCATGGGTTTTACCCAGCAAAAAGCCTAATGGCTCAAGAAACTGCTTTAATTCCTGCTACTGCTGAACTATAACAACATTTTGATTTGTTTTTTACCTTTTTTATTCATGTATTATTCATTTTTAGAAACAAAAAGATACAACATACAGAATAAATAAACCTAATGTAGTAGTGGTAATTGTGCAGTACTGGTGGTCTTTTTTGTTGTTTCATCTCAGTTTAAACCTATATAACCATAAAAAGCTAATATTAGCTGGCTTATAAATCATAGTTCTGTGTGGGTAGAGTTTGCATTTGTCTGCATAATAAAACAAGCTGCTAGTAACTTGAAAACATTTTTAATCAAGTTGACATTGATAACAGTGACCTGTTGCAGTGCAATAGTTTTCACACCCTGGCTATTTGCAGCAAGGAGTATTATCAAATTTGCCATTACATCTATTTTAGCTAATTCCCAAGAAAATATATTTAAAGTTACAAACACTAGTCAGAATTTAGCAGAATTTGCATTTGTGTTCTATTTAAAGCATTTTGGGTTCCTGAGCAGAACAGCTTTAAAAAGGATGGCGGCCACCGCACACTTGCCTTCCTGTATTTTTTCACACTTGTCTGACTCCACCAACGTGCTTTTCCCTCAAGACAGCACAGTCCTCATTAGATCATTTTCTTTACATACTAAAGAAAATGATCTGTTATCCTATAATGCTTTTGCAATAAAAAGGTTTGTTGGATTTTGCTGCTGCTTCCCACTATTGAATATATACTATTGACTTTCATAAGTGAGAGTAAAGTACATCAGCACAATTGATAATAGTATGTGAGTCTAAGTATTCCCATTTTGCCTGAGAACAGAACACAGAGTCTAGTGGTGCATTAGATTAGCTACTGAGTTAATTGTCGGGTTAACATTTTGCTTTTCTTCTGTCTTTCAGATTACGGTGTGCTGAAGAGAATAGATTATACTGAGGAGAGTGAAACAGAGCCCACAAAAAGAGATACTGCTGCACAATGTTCTAGGGGAGTGGGGCAAGAAAGCGTGCTGTATTGATACTGTTGACGTGTCTGCAAGACCGAAAAAGACACAGCCATGGGGCGGAAGAAGATACAGATTACCCGAATTATGGATGAGAGGAACAGGCAGGTAAGTTGGGAAAGACCAATATGTCACTTTCTATATGTATCTATGTGGAATAAAATATTTCCACCATATTTGGAAAAGAAAAACCTTCTCTGTATGAACCCATGCTTATTAATAAATGTGATTTATTCAAATTAGTGACCAAAAAAGAATTCTGTGTAATTTCAAATTGTCAAATGGAAAGGTGAGTGTATTTATCACACCTTCTGGCTCACAAATGTAGAATCAGGTGTTCCACAGAAGGTGCTGATAAATAAATCCTTCTCAGGTTCTCAGACACCTGTCATTGCTAATCTGCTGTTTTTCTTTTTTGCTAAAGAGAGTTTTAATATCTTTTCAGGATCCTACGAGCTGTTTAATGGCTTAAATACAATGCATCTTAACTAGCCTGACAAGAGGGTTAAAAAAAAAAATCTTAAATTAATTTTAAAGCAATAACGCTTAGCGACTATTAGCTGCAAATGAGAACACAAGGGCTGATCTCCAAACACAATTATTCAGAAGTTCTTGGATCTCTCGGTATCAAACATGATCTATTTGGCAGGGTTAGGGGAAAAGAATAAAACTATGCCTCATTAAAATACCTAAATACTATGAACCTTTTTTAAAATGCATGATCTTGACAGATTTATGCTTTATACATATTGTAGAGGTTTTTTTTAGGAGAAAATTCACAGCATTGGAGGTGTTATGATTGGTGTTTCGGTCTCATTTTCAGAAATCAAACAACCTGTCTTCATGGATTGATCTATACATTCGGAATCAGTAGAAAGATTTATTGAAATTACAGTTGATACTGATACTTGAAGCTTATACTATAAATACATCAGTGTAAACTTTGTTTCATAGTTTTGATTTCTTTTTGTTGTGCCACTGTAACTTGCCGATACAGAATTCGGACAATTGTTATTTTTCTTTAAGAACGATAGATGGTATAAAAATGGTTACCATTATTTTCCCTCTGCCTTCGTGATTGATAGATCATCTGGTGGCTAGGACCTGTATGCAAAAGACATTTAGAGTCCCAAACGAATTATCCCTGGCAAAATCAAGGTTGAATAAAAAATAAAATTAAAAATCAGCTATTTATAGCAAAAGCAATGACATTGTCTGAGATAACATTCACTTTAGTCACAGTTTTAGGAACATTTTCAAGAGGATTAGGGTGGACATTTTAAAGTGTATTTAGCATCTTACAGTATATAAGTAAACAGTATTGTGAGTGTGCCATCCTAATAAACTGGTTTGTATATTTTCGTCTGTTACAAATGTAGATTGCAACAGCATTCCTAGGCAAATTGAGGTTGTTACCTATGTAGGATAAAAAGCATCAGCTTTGCTATAGTCTGTTAAGCTTTTTAGTGTCTGCTTAAAGTCCCACTGTCATCCAATCTGAATTACAGACATGTTCTCCTTGTCCTGACAAGTTGTAGAAAATAGAATTTCCTTTTAAATACCCCATTACCTATGCTGATGAAGATTCTCAGTCATCCAGGTCATAGTCTTTCCGTAAAAGTTTAAAAAACAATCCACTGGACTTGGTTTCCAAGATTTGAAGACGTTTCGCTTCCCCTCCAGGAAGCTTTCTCAATTCAAATGTCTGGATCAGTGAGTTTGAGTCTTTATATAGGCAAGGCCTTGTATTGCTTGGAAACATGCAAATTGAAACTGACGAGTGGGTCGTTTGGTTCGATTGTTAGCCTGTAATATCTAAAACCTGTCTATGATTCTGAAGGTCGGTCGTTAAGAAAGCTTCCTGGAGGGGGAGCGAAACGTCTTCAAATCTTGGAAACCAAGTCCAGTGGATTGTTTTTTTTTAACTTTCACGGAACTCATTACCTACGTTTGCTTCCTCAGACATCTTTTTTAAAATAAGTGATATTGAATATGTCTAATTTTTAGTCTTCTTAACTTATTAACAGTCTTGTCAACCAGAAAATGGCTTATTTTAAGCTGTTAGCAGGAACACATTGTATGTATGCTGATCAGAGAGCTACTGACTTCCGAGGACCAGTTAAACTGGAAATCAGTTGGTGCAGTTTAACAGATTAATTTCTGGTCCTATTCTAGCTTAATTAAATGAATCTAGATGCAGATTATCCCGTGATGTGTTAGCACTGTTTTTAAAATTTACTTACATGTTCCTATTTAGGTATGCTTGGGGAGAAATTAAGACTTTTATTTTTCTATTAACTTGTTTGGTAGGATGATCTGCATCTTTATTTGCTGACTGAAAGTCGGTTATCTTTAGTGTGCCTCACTGCCTTGGACTAGATTTCAGGAGCTGTCATGGTGTATCTAACCAGACAAATCTCCCTCCCCAAAGTCCCAGCCAGCTGAACAGGGACCTTGACATTTCATTGTCAGTGTGGCCATATTTACAGACTCGTTTCCCTGCCACCCTGCAATTTCAACGGGAGAACTTGATGAGGCAGCAGTAGTGCTGCACTGCAGAGGGGGCCTCATGGCATAGGAGTGAACTGTGGGTCCTCTGTAGGGCTCGTCCCCCAGGTCCCGGCGGCATAACTGGGCCCCATTTTCACTGCAACTCTTATGGGTCTGAAGCTATTTGGTAGCAATTAGGAGCAGCCACTGTAGCACAGCACCCTCTCATTTGCAGGGTGGGGTCAGAAGGACACACAGCACCCATCTTTGTCTTGGCTAAATCGCCTCTGGCTAGCCACAAGAGAGGAGAACGCTGGAATTCTCTCTTGTCTACTCATGATGAATATAAAATCCTAAACAGCAACACGCTGCCTAACAACAGGAATGTTTGAATATCTATAGCAGGAACATTATGCTCAATTTTATTTCACTTTTTTTCATATTAAAGATAGCAGACAATTAACTGCTGCTTGTACACCATGTAAAATAAATACATACTTTTTTGTACAGTAGGTAAATGAAACAGACCCACTAGAAGCCCATGATGTATTTTACTACAGTATCTTTCTCCTCTGACCAAGATGCTCATTGCAATGATGAGCAGTAGGGCTGGGCGATATGGAAAAAATACTATATCACGATATGGATTATTTTATATCACGATAACGATATATATCACGATATACCACAACTGATGTTGCATTTTATGTTTTCATAGTCCGTCAGATGGACAGGGTTGAAAAAAATCTTTCATCGCCTATTTTTTACCCATCATCTTGTTTCCTAATATGAGAATCCCAACCCCAAACCAAGAACACCAGTTATGCAATTTGCGGCCATGACAGTGAACAGTATAGAATCTTGGCTATTGCGCTGCAGTAATTAATCATTTGATATTCATTTGTTATTGACATTTTATAAAATTCCAAGGCCAGTTTTTTCTCTTGTCTTTCACTTACCTTGTTTTCCACTAGGAGGCGCCTCGCCTATTTAAGAAGAAATGTGTCTGCACTGGTAATACATTAATTAAAATGCCCACATGTTCTACTGGATAGGAGTGTCAGTGTAGTTAAAAATGTGATCCATCATACGACCTGTACCACAATTATGGGTGTTTCAGTTGTTCTCTTTATTTTTCAGCAGTCACAAGAGAAACGTGCTGCACAGTTTAAAAACATGGAACACAACAGTACTATACAACAAACTATAACAAACAGTACACACTAATACACACAGTATGATTTACTCTAAAGGGGAAAAAGTGAATGCTACAGCACCTTTGTGTGTAAACACAACACTCACAGGTGCAGTAGCCTTCACTTTTCCCCCCTTCAGAATAAATTATAATATCAGTGAGGTCCAGTAATGGATGCGTATGCTGTAAAAGCACACAGTTCATTGGTGTAAGCATATTAGTAAAACCAATAATAGTAAAACTAGCGAACGTACAAAAGTGCATAGCAATGTCAGGCTCATACCTTGGGCGAGCATCACTCCGGTGTGGTCCTCAGGAAAGTACACGGTCTGTAGACACCGAGCGCGGAGGGTCCAGTCCGTGATAAGGATGGTGAGACTCATATAAGGCTGTGTTGCTCTACTCATCCACATGTCCGTAGTCAACGCATAATGCGTCGCACCACTGCGTACCTCTCTCTCCACTTCAGCCCGACAACTAGCATATAAGCCAGGCAGCTCCGCTTTAACGGTAAAATCTTCTTGGGTGTCCATCATTAATTTTTTTTCAAGCCAGAAAGAAATTTCACGGGCTCTCTCCATCAGTAATGTCGCAAACGTATGGTGCAAAGCCGCGTGACGTAAAGCGGTGTAGTGTCGCAAAACCACGTTCTCTACACATTATCTTTTTATTGTCTTTTTTTTTTCGTTATATACACTTAGAGTTTGCATAGCAAAAACGCAAAATGTTATATTAACAGATTATATTAAAATGTATATTAGCAGTAATAATAATAATAAAGAAGTTTATCACGATAGAAAAAATAGAGGAGAAAGGTCACGATAGACATGTTTCTCTCGTCCTCACGATATATATCGCCATATCGCCCAGCTCTAATGAGCAGTGAATCCACAATGTGGCCCAATTATCAGTGTAACACCTGGCTTTAGTTTGTACACTTTATGCACACACCTGTGACATGTCGAAGCAAACAGGAAGGGGATCATGTTGCAGGAAAGCAGGTCGGTATCTAATTGCTGAGGAAGCCAATTAGCTCCTCTGCTGATCCATTTATTGCACAGTGAGTCTGTACAGGGAAAGTGCAGACACTTTCCTGTGTTGTTCCATATAAAATAGGATGTGGGAAAAGGAGATCGCTTATTAATGTGCTCTAAAAGGCTAGTATTTTCATCAGATTTAAATGTCTCGGTGTTTAATCAGCACAGCGCAGGCAATTCGGCTCACATTTAGGTAATTTTAGCTGGCACAGCAGAAAGTCAGCCATGACAATAGGCTACTGTGCTAAAATAAAGCTTTGGTATTAAGTGATGTATGTGTTCACATCGCTTTTTCTTTTTTGCTGTGGGGCATAAAGAACACAGTGCCATCTCCCTAGGGCATTGGGGGGTGGGGGGATATTTGCATGAAGTTTCCAGTGTCTGAA